TAAAGGTTTTTATTTATATCTTTTTTTATACCAAAAAAAAAAAAAAATCTAAAAAAAAAAAAAAAAAAAAAAAAACAGAAAATAGACATCATCATTGCAAAGAGATCAGATGAATAGTTATTGTGGTAATAAAAAGCTAATAGTTGTTCTTAATGGTTAACAGCCAATAAAAGATAACAACTAACATCTAATATGGATCGCAACATATTTCACTTGAATAAAGATCAGGTAGGACAGTTGGAGATTGCGGAGAAGTAAAACTAACAACTAAAGTGAAGAGCCAACAGCTAATCTGAATGTTCAGTGCTAATTTGAACTGCTAAAAACCTGAAACAGTTAATTAACAACTAACACAAACACTTCACATAGATCACAAGCTTACCTAATAAAACGTCAGCAGCCAGTAGATGCTTCATGACTCCGTCCAGGACACTGGACTGAAACTCTTTCTGCTGTGTCCTGGTAGAACGCTCTGGTGATGCCTAATAGTTGAAAACAAATAATTAAATAAAAAAATGACTCAACTTTGCAAGTGTCTTGCAGAAACCAAGACTGTTAATGTTTCCTCGTCGTCACCTCTAACAGAAGGTCAATGACCGGTGTCTGTTTGCTGGCAGGAGTCATGCACAGGTTGTCCATAATCAGGACTCTCATGAAGTCAAAGACGTACTTCTTGGCTGGGTGGTTGGTCAGTGAGGTCTTGGAGCCAACGTTGCAGTACTCAGACTGACTGCGATTCATTCCCGAGTCTCCAGTGAAAGCCTTGAACTCCTCGATGGGTGAACCGGCTTCATTATCCAGATCACTAACCTGGGAGAGATGGAAATTAGTGATTTATTAAATAGCTTAAGGATGACCAATTTTAACTTTAGGTGAATAAGTAGAGGCTTTGCATTTTTTAGCTATTTCTTTACTATTTATATATCTATTGGCTACTGGGTATAAAGAAATGTAGTCAACAAATGTAGCCTCCTCTGATGCTGCAATACACTCCTGCATTGCAGCAGAGCCGTTCGCATTTGCAGTTAACTTTTGAGAGTTGTGGAAAAAGTCTACCAAATTATTTTTTTTAAAATGCTTCGTTTCTGTAGAGCTTTAAAGCTCCAGTCCACAATTCAATCTTTTTTTTTAGATTAAAAACTATTACCACCAGACTTACCATTTCAGAGTAGGGTCTGATGTTGAAGGGAAAGACTGAGGCAGCCAAAGCACACAGGAAATCTGGACTGTGCCACATAGACCCCAGGTCAGCTACGTTGTGGTACAGGTACCTGAAGAACTGCATTAATGTGAGAGGGTATTCTCTGACCCAAGAACCCTTCTCCTCCGACTGCCACAGCTTCAAGATAAACAAAGAAACAGATTTATTAAGCAAAAGTTCAGTTTAGTTAATTGTATTGTCAAAACTTTATCTGTTAATCCCTGTTACATGTTTGACTGTCTGATAGATAATTCAAAATATGCACTGTAGTTTCACTACTTGTGTGTCACACGGCATGGCATCATCTCTCACCAGGTTGAGCATGCTGCGGAGCATGGCTAGCAGCAGAAACGCAGCCTCAGTGCAGAAGCTGTGAATGGAGTTAAGCACCGTCCCACTGGAGGCTGAGATGCCAAAGACAAAGGTCCAGATGGAGTCGAGATCAAACTGAAGGAAAACACAAACACACACTGGGCTGAAATTCACTGACACGCATTTGTATCACTCGATGGCGCTGCGGACACGGTGTTTGGTACAGCGCTCCTTCTACTGTTTTTGTGTTTTTACCACCGGTGTTGGCTCTGGTTCCCAGAACTTTTACACCAGGGATGGACTTATAAACATCCGTGCAACAACTCCACTGGATTTATTCCCCGAGTTTCTCGCCTCTTCAACGGACATTTTACTTAAAGGCGAACCTGGTCATTACCAAAGCAGCGAAGGGTCAGAAGAGGGGGAAACGAGCCGGTGCGCTCGTACGGCTGCGCCGCCGCGGACATCATACCGGCATATTCCTCTCTAACGTGAGCTCACTGCCCAACAAAGTAGACGAACTTCAACTACTTGTGTAAAAGAACATAGATGTTTCCTCCTCCGCTGTCCTGTGCTTCACGACACCAGATTCCGCGCTTGAGCTGGCTGGGTTTCAACTATACAGAGCGGACCGCAACACGGAACTCTCCTGCAAGAGTAAAGAATAGAATAGAATAGCCTTTATTGTCCTTGTACAGTGTACAACGAGATTTGAGCGCTACTCACTTGGTGCAAAAAAAAAAGGGTAGAAGATGTGGATAAAATATATTCATGTGTTCATAGTTTATAGAAGTATGCAACATATATAATCATGTTTTATAATAGAATAAATAATCATAAGAGATGTGCTTAAACATATAACCAGCTTGAACATAAAATGCTGCTTAAAGCTAGAACTGAAAACATGCAGATGTAGAGAAGGAGCTGCGAGGTTGAGATAAAACCAAGGTTGGTTGTGAAAAGAGGAGTACTTGGTGTGGTGGGAAACAAACTTTTAGAATAACAATTTGACAATGGCTGGATTCATAGTTAGAACACAAGGCCCCAACAACAGCACCTGGGCACGATAAGAACGGGATGAGAAACTAACGGTGTAGATACAGTTGCCAAAAAGAATGTATGACTGTGTGCAGAACAAATGAAGTCTGTATTGCTTGATATGTACCACCCCTGGATATGTGTGTCAATAAAACGAGCCTGAGTTTGTGGAGAGAGCAGGATTCAGCAGTCAACCCCCTGACTCGCCGCTGGAACCTCCCTGTGCACAGGCGAACTCGAGCAACGACTTTTGTCTTTTCTTTATACTTTGTGAAAGTTCTTGATCAACGAATCCGGGGTGGTAAAACCTTACCACAACAACTGTATCCTCATTTTCGGGCAAGTTTTCCCTAGAATTTACATGTTAATAAGGAGAGAATCGTACCCTTTAATTCTTATGGGCTCTGCTTATTTCGCATGCATTAATACTGGAGCTGCTGACTTGGCTCTTCCTCTGAATACAAAATAGGACACACATATTAAGTCTCATATATTTACAGGATTGATGCCACGGGAGATTGTCTGAGAGTGAGATGAAAAGGCTGACTCAGATGTGTATTCCACTGTAATCTGTGAGACAATGCGTGCCCAAGACAGCCAGCATCTATCCTGATTTTGGCCTGATAATGAGCAGTGATGTTTGACAAATTAAGAGCGTAAGCTTTGCCCGGAGATCATCCTGGAATCGAGTTACTGACTCTTACTCAAAATAAAACACAGGTGGAACTTTGATGGGTGACTTCTGCAGTCTCCAGTTACGAAGAATAACAGAAGAGAGAAAAAAACTGGCAATGAAAAAAAAACACTCTTGGTACTGATGAAGGGCAAAAAAGGCTGCCAGTAAGTATAAAAAGAGCAGCAACATCAACACAAGCAGCTTGTCAAGGATAGGCCATGCCAGAGAAGACAAAAGTGCTGTCATCCTCGACAGCACACTATCGGCACACCTATTTCCACCTACGCAATATCAACCGCCTCTGCCCCTCCCTCACTCCCCATACCACTTCCATCCTGGTTCACAGCCTTGTCACCTCCCGCCTTGACTATTGCAACTCCCTCCTCTTTGGTCTCACCCACAAGTCTCTTTATAAGCTCCAACTGGTCCAGAACTCAGCCGCCCGCATCATTACTAGAACCCCTTCCATCCACCACATCACTCCTGTCCTGCAACAGCTTCATTGTCTCCCGATCAAGTCCCATATTAACTACAAAATCCTTCTGCTCACATTCAAAGCCATCCACAACTCCACTTCACCATACATCTCAGATCTTCTTCATGTCCTGTTCCCTCCTGCTTCCTCAGATCATCCTCCTTCCTCTGACTGTCCCCTCCGCCCATCTCATCACCATGGGGTACAGAACTTTCAGTCGCTCTGCTCCCCAGCTTTGGAACTCTCTACCCCCCCTCTTGAGGAACATCAATTCACTCCCACAATTCAAGTCTGCACTTAAAACTCATCGGTTTAAAATTGCCTTCTCTATCTGATATTCCACTGTTGTATTTTAACTTGTTCTTAACGTCCTATTGCTTTTTAATGTTGTGTTGTTATCTTTGTATTCACTGTAAGGTGTCCTTGGGTGACAGAAAGGTGCCTATGAAATAAAATGTATTATTATTATTATTATTATTATTATTATTATTATTAAAAGATTGTGAGAGACAGAGAGACAGTGATCTCTGGTTTCCTCTGCAGCTGTCAGTGGGCTGAGTGGTTTCTCTCACAGCCTTGCTGTTTGTGTGGCACTGGATGCCCTGTCTGCTCCACCACTGGGAACACTGTTTGTTTAAAAGGCTGGCCTGTCAAACACAGTGCCACTAACTGCCAGACACTCGGCTAAATGACTCTGACAGCCGTCCTAATCAGAGGCTTCGCACATTGCTGCAGGGCCTGGAGTATCCATCATAACCCAAGCCTAAATAACCTAAAAGTGCTTAACTTTCCAAAGGTCAGGGCTTTTCATGCGTGCCAGGGTGACGTGTCAGAGAGGAGAGAAAGGTAAAGGACAGAAAAAAAATTGTAGATGAATGTGGTTGAATGTTCTGTGAGAAACATTTTCTTTTTTTAAAGGATGCTGGATATTCAGGTTTTGTTAATGTGAATACTCATCATTCTGTGTGCTCTTCACTTTAAGTCAAAACATTTCATGTCTGCAGAAATTACATATTCGACAAAGGTTGTGTTCAAGTTTGGTTGCATAAGTGACAACTTCACAATGTGGGACAGGAGGTGGGGTTGGGGAGGTCATCTCTTTGACTCAATTTCCATTGAGAAACAAACATCTAATTCAATTTAGATATGTACCTGTGCCAGGCCATGAGCCAGAGGGAGATTGTAACTGACAGCCATTGGATGGCCGGCTGGATTTGAATATTGACGAGACAGAGACTTGACAGAAGGGGTTATGCTCTAAATTCTGACTTGCTGGCTGCTACACTGATCCATTCTATTGTCAAATCAGCTCAGTGTCAGGTCTACAGTATGTCCGTCTGGCACGCCGATGCCACTCAGTATTAGAGCCTACCTGAAATTCATCTCAAGCCAAAGTGAAGTGCATTCAGAAGCCACAAAACCTCACTAAATCAAGCAAGGACAAATGAACGCAACGACAAAGAAACTGTACATTATAAGAAAACTGTCATATTTGTTTCCTCCTGCCATATTCAACCCAACACTAACCTGAAACCAACATCACTCTAATCTCATGATGTCGTTTCAAATTCATACATCAGCTATTACAACACAGGTTTGGTGTTTGGACATAAAAATGAAGATCCATTCTGCTACTGTCCACTCTGGATTTGTGTGTGGATGCCTTAGACAGAGTCTACTTCAAACCAGTGTAATCCCACGCATGCCCTCCCATCTCAAAGGCCACCGAGTACAGACAAGTCATGAAAAGTATGAGGCTTGGACAGATCAGTGAGGGTCCTTTGAAAGGACATCCATGGTTACACATCTGTACGTGCTTTGGCACACACATACACACACAATATGTCTTCATAGACCCAATATATCTTTGTGTGTGTGTGTGTGCCTGCATGAGTATGCGTGCGTGTGCATGTTCCTGTACTGCATGACTTGTGCCAACTTTTCCTCATATTCATTAATACTCATATTCTTGGACAAGATGAAAATCATTGCAAGGACAAACGGTGTGTACAAAAATGGTAAGGGCCGCACAAGGGTTAAAAAAGTGCCATCAAGTTCTGTCTCTCAAGATGGTCTCTCAATGAATGGCTCTCACTGTTGGTACAGCAGACTCTCCTGGTGAGGAGTCAATTATTCATGGGCTAAATTCATATAAAATCTCTGTGGTCTGGCACTATGTCCAGTAATATGATATTGAATATGATATTCAAGACAAGTAAGAATCTAGGAACGAACCAGTCAGTGTAATATTTAATAATTTATATAATTTATAAATATATATATATATATATACAGTATATATAAACAGGTGAGCCTATCAATCTTCTCATTTGTGTAATACAACGTTGACACGGAAGTGTGGGAAGGGCTGAGGTCATACATCTCTGACTGTAAGGATGTTCAGACAGTGCACTGAGTTATAGTTCATTCAAGTTATGTAAACTTTTAGTCATATGCAAAAAAGATTTAAAAAATCCCTACAAAGTCAATTATATGCTATTTTGTGGAAAGTGGAATATTTGGATGACCTTGAAAAATGTCACTTATCTATGATGTTACCATGTTAGCTTTCATTTCCTCACTAAAAGAAAAAAAAAGGAATTCCACTTCTCCACGACTGTCTCCAATACTTCCATACATAAATGGCAGAATAAATTGTGCCCACTTTGTAGAAATATTTGCATTTTTTGAAACACCATTGTAAAATAAAAGAAGTTATGCTCAGGTAAGTGGAGCTTGTCAGACTGCTGGCAACTCAGCTCAACTCAGCTCAGCTCAACACTGTCCTCCTTTGCAGAGGTGGAGGATGATACCTCCAACAGCAGTAGTCGTACTACAGCCCAGAAACAGCAACAGATAATTTTTAACTTGGCAAAAGCTGTCACTCTGTGGAAGATATTCATGTTTTTAACAGACTCCACGGTAAAGTAGATGCTAACACTGTCCATAAGAACATCTGTCAGGGTATTGGAAATAAAAAAAGCTATTAAATTAGGTTAATATTCCAGAATGAGTGTTATCTAATGGGAGTGAGTTAGGTAGTGAGTCATTCCCATCATGTGACCACATACTTCAAATGCTTGTTTCTTGTTTCACTATTCTCTCCAGTCATGCTCTGGAACGTTTGTGTAAATTTGCCACAGCTTAATTACTGAATTATTTAGACCCTGCTCCAAATTAATGTGGATATTTCCATAATAATTTGTTTGCCCACCAATTCCACGTTTATTTGTGCTGCGGACAGGAGGCTGGCAATTATCACAGCATATCATAGCAGTTGTGCTGGTATTTCAGACATCATTAGACTGTTTGTCAACCACAGTGTGACTGAGCAGTAGTCTATTGGACACAGCTTGGTACACTTTTCAGATAGGCTCGCCATGCCTCTGTGAGTGAGATCTATCGACTGTTGCTCTGGGAAAAAAAGAGTGAGGGGCCATGTTTGTGTTTGTCAAGGTGAGGTCCAATTCAAAATCCCTGCTCTTTGGATATGTATTCTTACATGCAGTAAAAATAGGGACATCAGGAAATAACCAAACACCTGCCAACATCTTCTGGTCAC